CCCCTTTCAGGTCCTCGTTACGTTTAAAGTACCGAACTCCCGAACCTTGGAGCTTTACGCAAACGTTTTGTCATAGCAATGAGCAGCTAGCTTTGCGCATGTCCGATTAGAACTACGCTAAATGGCTAACCATAGCTAGATCGAACGATGCAATTTTCCAGTGGGCAGCTGTCAGTGGTTCATTAAACTTATCCGATTTAGACTCGAATCAGCTGCTATCCGTCGATTTTCGATGTCAGCTTAACAGTCGTACATTGGCAGGACTATCAACGTCCTGTACAGTCGCTAGCATCAGCTGAATCTATCGGTTAGTAGTCGATGTCGTGGGGTTATTCATACACTCCGCTATTGGCTTGCATCGCTGATGCTGTTAGCTTCGATCTTATACACTCTGTTGCACGCGTATCGAATACATCATATGCGATAAGCATGGATTCGTTGAGATGCAGATACATATAGAAAATCACGCACCAGTTAATCTGGAGACACAAAGCAATAACTCAAAAATCAAAAATTTAACACAGATTAAGAACTACCATTCTTTGATACCTTACATAAAGATAAGGAAGCGGCTGGGCTGTGGTCAATTTGGGTTGGCACGCGAGCGCCGCAGCCCCTGGAAAGTCCGCCCCCAGCTCCCCGCTGCCCTCGCCGGCAGCCGGCCTTTCCCCCGGCCAGGTGCGCGAGCCTGCGCGCGCCTCCTCCGCCTCCTCCAGCGGGTCCCTGGCGCGCCGGGGCCGGGGCCCGGCTGGGGCGGCTGCGCGCACGGCGCCTCTCCACCAACCCGCTCCCCTGCAGGTCCCTCGCTCGCTCTCCATCCCTCGCCGGCGCTCCCTCGCTCCCCCCCGCCCCGTGATTGACAGGCAAGATGTCGGTGTGGAGCGAGGCAGGAGCGATTGCAGCAGCCGTCACCCCCGGAGCCCGGCGGCGGCAGGAGCAGCAGCGGCGCGGAGAGGAGACAGCAGCCGCCGCAGCCGCGGGAGCGATGCAGACCGCGCCTTGAGAACGCGCCCCAAACCGTGGACCATGCCGGCTCCCTGCAGCCGGCAGGGGGGCCAACTAGATTTTTTTTGACATAAAAGCCAGCCAGCCCCCAGTATATAATTTTGTCCTTCACGGAGCCGGTGTGTAAGGAGTGAGCGCTATTTTCCTCCTCCTCCTCTTCCTCCTCCTCCTTCTCCTCCCCCTCCTCCCCCTCTCCTCCTCCTCTTCCTCCTCCTCCTCCTTGCTAAGTGTACAGAGAGCATCACATCACCTGGTTGGCTTCTGAGAACCGGCAGCTCTCCTTTTCAGAGACCAGGGACTCAGAGAGAGGGGACAATTCTAATGGAGTCTGCTTGGTACCCCAAAATAAAATAATACATTTTAGCTCTCGTCCCTTCCTCCTCCTCCTCCTTCCCCCCCCTCCCCGCCCCCTCAAGCCCGTGTGAGATGGTGGGCTGCTTCTTCAGGAGACGCTGGTGAGAAGTCGCAGTGGCTGGAGCGGCGCAGGGGGGAGACTGCCTTCGCCAGCATTCCCCTCCCCCCTTTTCTCTCTGGGAGGAGGAGGAGGAGGGGAAGGGGGGCTGCAGTGCAAGCGATGGATGAGGAAAACATGACGAAAAGCGAAGAGCACCAACCTCTGAGTTTGCAAAAAGCCCTACAGCAGTGCGAGTTGGTCCAAAACATGATAGACTTGAGCATCTCCAACCTGGAAGGGCTTAGGACCAAATGTGCTACCTCCAACGACCTCACACAAAAAGAAATCCGGACCCTGGAGGTAGGTGCTGCTTACGGCGACCATCGAGCCTCGCCTCCCCGGCCCTTTCCGCCCTGGGATCTTGCGGGCTGGGGGCAGGAGGCTGGAGGAGGGAATGGACGCCAGGTGGGCTCGGGGAGGTTTTCTGTGACTGATCGCCCGGCGCAGGCTTCGCCGGACGCTGCTTCTCCGCGCTGCTTGGCTGGGTGGAGGTAGTAGTAAGTAGTGGTTGTTATTCCGTATTTATTATCATAGCATCCTCACTCGCTTCCCCTCCGAAGAGGGAGTCCTCTCGTTTTTTCCGCTTGTGGATTTGTTTATATGCCACGGGGGCTTGTGTGCTGGGCAAGACGCTAAGGAGCTGCAGAGAACCCACGTGACCTTGCGCGTTCTGCAGGTGGTCGAAAGGTGGCTTTTGCTTGCAGAATGGGGCTGCGGATAAATGTGAGACCTCTGCTTTTTTCTCAGCCACTGTCCCCCACCCCCTCCTTTGCTCCTTGGATTTCTGTTTTGTTTTGTTTCCAGTGATGTACACGTTAGCAAGCAAAGTGCTGGGGGGGAAAATCCCTATGGAGCAATCCATTGCCAATCGGATCATTTCGATGCAGCGAGCTGTTGCAGGCCTGAAATGTGTATAAAGGGAAAGACAGATAGCGATGCCTGAATCAGCACACACGGGTGGTGTGGGAAACCCTCTTGGATCCCGATGGGACTGCGCCGAAGCCGGTCCGGAGGAGGCCATGCCTTGGGTGTGTTGGAACCTCCTTCCCGACAGAAGTTGAGGGGGAGTTTGGAGCGGTGTTTTGAGGGGTGGGATGGGTTAGGGGAAGGATGCAAACTTTCCCCGAAGGAAGACATCAGCAGTTACTCCCGCAGAACGCCCTGTGGTCCAAGGAGGGTTTCTGGTACACTGTTAAGATGCTAGGTGTCTGTGGACTCATGGGGCATCCACACTGTTTCAAACACCTGAAGGCTTCCACGTCGACTCCCCTCCCACAAAGCGGCTCAGCGGCCCACCTGGGTTGCTTAGATCTGGGGACTGCTGTGGGCTGGCTGGCATTTGCTGAGGGTTGCAGCGGTGAGCGGGGGTGATCTCTCTTTGGTGGAGTGGATGCAGGAGGTTCACCTTGGTCCTGCCCTGTGCATCTCCGAGGCCTGAACTCTTCCTTCCCTGGGGCCCTCATGTTCTCACTTGGGCAAGGGCTTCTCTGATTCACTTTCAGGCCTGTTTCTTCCGTGGTTTTAAATTTGGCCAGAGGTCAACATACAGAAGGCCATCCTTTGAAAGAGGAGTTCAGTGGGTGTTTGTGTGTGGGGTTTCATGCACTGTTTGGATGCGAGTCTGTGCGCACCTGTCATCTGGGAACATGATCCTCAGAAGCGAAATAAGATAAATGTCAAGGGGGTGTTGGGGGAGTGGGAATTGTGTTGGGAGGCGCAGGTATTGCCTTTCTCAGAGCTTGGACCAGCAGGCTAGGGTAGGACTCTGCTCTGGCGCCCACCCTCTGTCTCTGTACAACAGTGTCCAAGAGCAGATTCTGTTCCAAACTGCATGCAGCAAAAAGATAAATAAGCCAAAGGCCACCCAAGCCCGTCTGCTCCTGGGAGCCAAGCGAGTCCCAAAGGCTAGTTTCTGTATTACTATGTGTTTCTCCAGAGTTTTCCTCTCATCCTTTTTGCCCCCCACTCCACCCTCTAATGACTACCTGGACAGTAGTGATTGTCACAGGAGGTTCTGTGTTTCGTTGCTGGCTTTCTACAGATGCGTTTCTTTTTCAAACTTGCAGTGGAGGCCTTGGTGTAGTGGTAGCGGTGCTGGAGGAGTTGGAGATGTAGGGACTGTATCTGTGTGTGGTTTCCTGGTCCCAGTTAGCTTCAAAGCATGCCAACCGCTTTCTCCGTATTGCCTGGGGAGCAGTCTCCAGCGATTATGCCAGTGTAGACTTCTCAGACCTGCAGGACCAGACAAGGGCTCCTGTTAAGTCCTGCCAGTCCTCAGGCTTGAATCTGCTGAATTTTCTACCCTAGCAGTTGTCTAGTTCTGAGTCTCAAAACCACATATGTGTGCTTGTTAAGATGCAGATTCTCTGTTGCTAACCCTGGAGATGCAAGTGTGGTTGGGATTGAAGGGCACGGTCTAGGAGTTTCTGATGCATGGTTTCCTGTTGACATTCTGGAAAAAATACGAATCCATTGGGAAATAGATACTGTATCTCAGTGCTTCATGGTGAAACCTTCCTGTTCACAAAGACTCAAGTAATTAATCAATGGAATAGACCATCTCTGAAAACCTTGGTAATCAGCAAAACTTGTTAACATGCATGCGACTCCTATAGAAACAAAATTATCCAACATGCACTTGACCTGCAAGAAGCATACGCCATGGTTAGGGAGACAAATTTAATAAAACCTGTGTGAAAAGTGATAAAATCCAAAGAGTAACTGTTGACATGGAAGATGGTGAGTGGGCCCAGTAAGTGTGCATCAGGCTGCGTGAAATGGAAAACCCAACTATAACGGGGGAGCAAATCATGGTTTCTTTTTCTCAGGTAGTCAGAATTCTGGAGGGATGATGGGTGCTTGAGTTGTTCCAATTGGTCAGTAAGATCAGGGCTGATGTCTTTGGAAATTCCCATGCCCTTCCCTTTAGAGTTGCAACATGGCTCCTGCAGCTTCAGCTGTCACATCCAGTTCAAGGCAGGAAAGAGGTCAGGGTGAGGATTAGGGGCCATGCCTTTGTTTCCCCAAGACACCTTATCCTTTCAGCCCACAGATGGTGTTTAATTGTGTCTTCGTGGTCAGACCTGGGTTGGATGGCTAGACCTAGCTGCAAGGGAGGCAGGGAGTGGGGAAGTGGGAACACAGCATGATCGGCTTACGCAGATCGTTCTCTGCTGCCTGAGATGACTTGTTGTCGCTCTATACAAAATCAGGATTCTGGCACAAGTGGCTATTGGATGGTCAGTCAGCAGTTTCCAGCATAGCAGGTGATGAGGGATCATATCTTGGTAGGAAGAAAACTTCAGTGAACCGTGGAGTTATGATGTATATTTCAGCTTTAGCTTTTCTATTTACATTATCTTAGGCTAGTAGTGATTTAGATTTCCTTGGTCCATAGTTCATCTTCTTTTTTGGCAAAATGGTGAAAGTAGACCTGAGAGGATGACTGTGAGGACTAAAAGAGAGAACACTGTCCAGAGACAAGCACTGTGGAAAATCCAGTGCCTGCTGATGCCAAGCTAAGAACAGCCATGATGGTGGGACAGTTAGCATTCCATGGCATGCAACAGATAATGTGGGAGGCGACAGCTCAGGTCAGTGGGAGTGAGGAAGGAACTTGGCTGTATTTCCAAAGTATGTTTGTTGAACCCTAATTCTGTAGTGTGTCAGCATTTTTCATTTGTAACACATCCTGAAACCCAGGCACTGTACTGGATGCTATGGTCAGCAAGCATTCTGTAGACAAAAAAAAAAAAAAAAAAAAAAGGCACTACTTGGTTACTACGTTTGGAGAAGATTGGATTAAGCAAAGGAAAATGGTTGTCTTTACTGCAGAGCTTCTCAGAGCCTTTGACGCCACACATGTGCCTTGTGCCTCCAGGAGCACACAGAGCCCACGATGGTTCCTTTTTCCAAGGATTTCTCTGGGGACTTTTATTCCACAGAATACACTGGGGGGAACATGGGCAAAGCAGGTAGGGAAGCCTTCATGGTTGGGGAGATGGGGATTTGGCGTGGAGTGGAGGATGGGAGGGTCTAGGCCTTGCTAGGCAAGAGCAACACTACAGATGCAGCCGTTACCATGTCTTCACAGGGAGCTTAGGGCCCAGCTGCCCTGAATGGGGGTTACCTGACAGTGGGTCGTGCAAAACCAGTGAAAGGCGCTCAAACTCCTGGGGTCTGATTGAGGATAGGGGAGTCAGACCAACCAGGTTTGAATGGATTTGGAGTGAATCCAATAAAAGAGCCATTTAATGGTTCATCTGTTGTCTACACCAGGGACTGGCAAATGTTTTTAGTGAAGGAGCGGGTGGTAAATAGTTGAGGCTTTTTGGGCCTTGGGGTTATTTTATTTTATTTTTAAAAAATTTTTATGATTTATTTTATTTATTTGAAAGACAGAGTTACAGAGCGGTAGAGATAGAGAGGTCTTCCATCCACCGGTTCGCTCCCAGATGGCCGCAACGGCTGGAGCTGTGCCGATCTGAAGCCAGGAGCCAGGAGCCCCCTCCAGGTCTCCCATGTGAGCGCAGGGGCCCAAGGACCTGGGCCATCCTCCACTGTTATCCCAGGCCATAGCAGAGAGCTGGATCGGAAGCAGAGCAGCCGGGACTAGAACTGGTGCCCATATGGGATGTCGGTGCTTCAGGCCAGGGCGTTAACCTGCTGCGCCACAGTGCTGGCTCCAGGCCTTGTGCTTTTCCAACGCAAGCACACAACCCTGCTGTTATGTAGTAGCCACTGACAATGCATCCCAGAGTGGACATCAGGGGGATATTTCCCAATAAGCCTTTACTTATAGACCTTGAAATTTGATTTTGATAAAATGTTCACGTCATGAAATATTATTTTTCTTTTGATTTTTTTGACATTTCCTTTTGTAAAATGTATTAGTTACCAGGCCTTACCAAAACAAGTGGTAGGTCAGATTTGGCCCGTGGCTGAAGCTTGCTGTAGGATGGGTAGGATGGGTGAGACCCTGAAGGACTCACCCCAGAAGGTGAGCAGGGAATATTAGGATCAGAGAGCACTGGCCAAGGGGCATGTGTTCTGAGCTGGTCTTGATTTTGGTCAAATTGCAGGTACGGGGATCAGTGCAGAATCTCCCTGTGCAGGAAGGGCCTGGTCGCCACGCATCTGTCCATTCTTTGTCCTGCCTGTGTTCCATCTTAGATCTCTGCTGGGAAACTTTGGGCTTAAGACAACCATCTTCATTTTCCATGATGCTGTGGGAGGTGCTGGCCTGGGCTCGTTCATGGGCCCTGTTCAGGTGCCGGGGGCCTGGTGATTGGCTGGGGAGC